CCAGGGGGGATCCCAAGGGACCCTCTCCCACCACGGGGGCTCAGACGGGCAGGGGGTTCCTTGGGAGGGGACACTGGGAGCCCCCGATCCCAGATGGAGCCCAGAAAGATCCCAGACAGATCCTGGACAGGCCCCATAAAGATGCCAGATGGATCCCAAATGGATCCTCAATGGGCCCAAGGCAGATCCCAGACAGGCCCCAAATGGATTCCAGGTTATCCTGGACAGATCCCAAGTGGATCCCAGACAGACTCCAAATGGATCCCAGACAGAACCCTGAACAATCCCAGATGAAATCCAAAGAGACCCTAAATGGACTCAGGACAGATCCTGGGTGGATCCCAAAAAGATCCTATAGAGACCCTGGATGGATCTTAATGGGATCCCAGACAAATCCTGGCTTGATTCCCAAAGGATCCTGGGTAGATCCCAAAAGGAGCCCAGAGTGATCCTAGGTGGATCCCGGGCAAGCCTTGGGTGGATCCCAAGGGGATCCCAAACAGATCCTGGATGGATCCCAGAAGGATCTTGTAGAGCCTCTAGGTGGATCCTACAGGGATCCCAGATCCTGGATGGGTCCCAAAGGGATCTCAGACAAATCCTGGACCTGCTGGGGTGGGAATTCCAGGAGTTTTGAGGCTTTTTCCCACTTTTCCACAGCTTTTCCTGGATGATGCCAAAGTCAAGAACTTCATCACCTGCTTCAAAGGTACCAGGACCCCCCCACACCCAATAAGCCCTAATTAGGATCCAGTCTTTAATTAACAGGGGGGGGCTTCATCCTTAATCAGGGTCAGATCTTTAATCAGGATCCCATCCTGAATTGGGATCTCATCCTTAATTAGAGCCTTATCGAGGGGACACCCCCCAGTTAGGCACCTTGGTAGCCAAAGCTTGAATATTAATCACCCTGTTAATTAAGTGCCTAATTAATCGTGCCATTTGCATGTTAATTACCTCATTCATGCCACCAAGAAATCCCATTGGCTCTTCCCAACCTGGGGAATCCTTCCCAAAACGGAACCTCCTCAAGGAACCAATTCCCACCTTCTCCCATTAATTACCCACCCTGGAGGGGCTAATTACCCCTTGGAGGGTAATTTCATCCTTAATCAGGGTCAGGTCTTTAATCAGGATCCCATCCTTAATTGGGATCTCATCCTTAATTAGAGCCATAACAAGGGGGTTGAGGGAACACGCCTCAATTAGGCACTTTAGTAGCCAAAACTTAATTAATTAACAGGGTGGTTAATATTCATCTAATTAATCATGTCATTTGCATGTTAATTACCTCATTCATGCCACCAAGAAATCCCATTGGCTCTTCCCAACCTGGGGAATCCTTCCCAAAATGGAACCTCCTCAAGGAACCAATTCCCACCTTCTCCCATTAATTACCCACCCTGGAGGAGCTAATTACCCCCCGGAGGAGCTAATTACCCCTTGGAGGGCTTGATGGCCAGGAGAGGAGCCAGGAATCGATGTCCACCCATCCTTCCCAGATGTCCCTTTCCTGGTTTTCTTCTTCAAACACCTGGAGAGGAACCGGAGCGGGCGCTACGAGGCGGAATTCCCGTTCCTCTCCGTCTGCGGGCGGGAGCGGAACTTCCTGCGTTGCGATGATCTCCCCGTGGTTTTCACCCAGATCCTCTCGGGATCCGATGGGAAAAGGCTCCTCTCCTACTGCGGAGGAGGGGAACGTTTAGCTGTCCCTTTCCAGCCGGAAAACTTGGTGATATTCCCAGAGAACGGGAGGCTTTATCACCCGGCGCCGGAAAAAGCGGGAAGGGTGGGATTGGTGCGTTCGGCTTTGGCTTGGGAATTCAGTCCTGGCTTCGAGTTTGGGGGGGGTCCCACTGAACCCCCCACCCATTTCCTTTGGGAAGGGAGACGGTATCAACTGACCCAGGAATTGTTGCCTTTGCTCCGGGCTGGAAAAACGGGATGTGCTGGGGAATCTTCGGCTGTTCCCGTTCACCCCTTGAAGGGATGAGTTGGGGACATTCCCCACCCCCCAAAGGGATGGGGAGAGTTGGGGACCCCCCCAATTGTCCTTGTCCCCCAAGTCAGGGACCCCCCAGTTGTCTTCAAGGGATGAGGGGAGTTGGGGACCCCCCCCCCAGTTGTCACCAAGTTGGGGACCCCCCCAGTTGTCCCTGTCCCCCAAGTCAGAGACTCTCCCAGTTGTCTTCAAGGGATGAGGAAAGTTGGGGACCCCCCCAGTTGTCCCCATCGCAGAGTTAGGGACCCCCTCTCTGTCTCCATCAGGGTGTTGGGGACCCCCTGTCACCCCCATGTGTGTGAACAATAAAAGACCTTCAACTGCACCGAGTCCTCGTGGCACCAAACCCCCCCCTGGGGGGTTGGGGTGGGGGGTCTGGGGA